GTGCATGTGCCCTGACCGGAAATCAAACCCTTGGCCTTTCTGTGTGCAGGACAACATGCCAACCAACTGAGTCATATTGGCCAGGGCTTATTTATTTATTTATTTTTTTGAATTTATTGGGGTAACATTGTCTAACTGGCTTTCTGTATATGAACATCTTATCCTTTCAAAAGTCGTGTATGGCAGATATTAATATACTATTTCATAAATTCCTGCCCATTCCATTTTATTATGTTAAAGAACTATCTAGTTCCTCTTGTACTGAGTGTATTTTATTTTATTTATTTATTTTTTTTATCATCCTCACCCGAGGACATTTTCCCATTTTTTGTTTAGGTACAGTGGGAGGGAGAGAGAGGAACAGAGAGAGAGAGAAACCTCGATGTGAAAGGGACACATCGAGTGGTTGCCACCCGCACAACCAACCAGGGCCGGGGACAAACTGCAACCGATGTACGTGCCCTTAGCGGGAACTGAACCCGGGTCTCTCCGCACCGCAGGCCGATGCTCTAACCGCTGAGCCAAACCGGCTAGGGCCTGAGTGTATTTTAAATAGGAATAGATAATTTAGCTTGCCAATACCTTTTTAACATTTGTAGAGATTATCAAATAATTATTAACTTTAGTTCTGATCATTCGACAGGTTATATGACTGGATTTTTCTGTTGAATCACTCTTGCCCATCTGGAATATATTGTTTGCTGCTGTTGAAATTTTTATCAGAATTACATTGAATTTATTAGATCAGTTTTGGAGAGAATTGACATCATTAATGATATTAATTCCTTTTGTCCATAAATATGTCGTATCCCTTTTTTATGGCTTTCATTGTTTTAGGATCCTTTCATAATTTTCCCTGAAGAGAACCTACATATACTTTATTAAATTTAGTCCATGCCCTGGCCAATTTGGCTCAGTGGGTAGAACGTCGGCCGGCAGACCAAAGAGTTGCGGGTTCAATTCCAGTCAAGGGCATGTACCTTGGTTAACGTTTGGTCCCGGTCATGTGGGAGGCAACCAACTGATGTGTCTCTCTCACATAGGTGTTTCTCTCTCTCCGCCCTTTCTTCCTACTCTATCTGAAAATAAATGGAAAAATATCCTCGGGTGAGGATTTAAAAAAAGTTTAGACCTAGATTCTTGCTATTGTTTGAGCTGTTGTCATGGTGTCTTCTTTTCATGATGTTTTTTACTGCTGTGTGGAAACAATTGACATGTATCGATTTGGCTACTTTACTGAACTATCATTTCTGTCCGTGGATTCTTTGGGTTGTTAATGTAGATGATATCCCGTGCGAATAGTGACAGCTTTATTTCATCTTTCTAAACCTAATGCCTTTCATTTCCTTTTAGTATTTCATTGCTAGGACCACTCACTAAATACCATTTTACATAAGATAATTGTCAACTTTGTCTTATTTCCAATTTTAAAAGCCCTGGCTGGTTTGGCTCAGTGGTTAGAGTGTCAGCCCGCGGACCAGAGAGACCCGGGTTCGGTTGCCGCTAAGGGCACGTACCTAGGTTGCAGTTTGTCCCCGGCCCCGGTTGGGGTCGTGTGGGTGGCAGCCAGTGGATGTGCCTCTCTCACATCGATGTTTCTCTCTTTCTCTTCCCCCCTCTCTCCCTTCCACTCTATCTGAAGATGGATACAAAATGTCCTCCAGTGAGGATAAAAAAATAATAAAAGAAGTGCTAATAATCTTTCCCATTTTAGGCTGATGTTTACTTTGTGTGTTTATATATAATCTTTCTCAGATTAAGAAAATTATATTCTTAGTTTTGTCATCAATTTATGTTTAACTTTTTTTTTATTATTAGAAAGGTTGTTTTTTTTCTTGATTGATTTTAGAGAGGAAGGGAGAGGGAGAGATAGAAACATCGATGAGAGAGAACATCGACTGGCCACTTCCTGCATATCACCCACTGGGGATCAAGCCCACAACCTGGGCATGTGCCCTGACTGGGAATCAAACCAGCGACCCTTGGTGCATGGGTCGACGCTCAAACACTGAGCCACACCGGCTGGGCCAGCGACCTTTTTTAATTGAATCGGTTTTTCTGCTCTATTAATGTTATTAATTATATACAGTTTTTTTTTTGTGCTAGTTTTAAAACATTATTTGTATATTTAAAAATTTGCGTTCCAATAATTAAAATCTTTCGAACAACAACAAAAAATGGCCCTCTGATTAAATGCATTTTACAGTCTGCAGGACACCTTGGACCAGGTTGGTTTTTACTCTAAATTTCACTGTTGTCGCACCAGCTCTTCCTTCACCAACATGCAGGTTCTTTTCCTTCCCTGCCAGCCTGGCCGGCAGATGGGAGAGGCAGGTGCAGCTTTCCTTGTCAGTAGTTCTTTTCTTTTTAAGGCAGTGGATTTTTCTCTTGTGTTTCTGTCTTAAATTTCAACTTACAGAATTTCTCAATCTCAGCCATATCACATTTGTCAGACACGGTCGCAGAGGAAGCAGAGCAACATGCACGAAGGAGAAGAGTCCCATCTGCTCAGTGGCCACCACCGAGTACTGGGCGGGGCTAAGATATTCTAATTACATTTCTAGTTACATTTCTAGGATAAACTCAATTTGGTCATAGTATAGTCTTTAAAAAGATCTATACTGTGCAATCTATACATTGGAATGTAATGCATTTTCTATATACTGTTGAGTTTACTAAAATTTTAAAGGATTTATTTATATTCATAAGTTGTACTGTCCTTGTATGGTTTTAGGGTCAGGTTTATATTGGCCTTATAGAATGAGGTTGGGGGAGTGTTTTTTTTTTATATTTTTTAATATTTGGTTTAATAAGATTGAGATATCTTTTCCTTAAATGTCTGTAGACTTTGTAAATTTTGGCATGGTGTTTTTTTTTATCCTCACCTGAGGACATTTTTGCATTTATCTTCAGATAGAGCGGGAGGGAGAGAGAGAAACATCGATGTGAGAGAGACACATCGACTGGTTGCCACCTACACAATCCCAACCGGGGCCAGGGACAAACTGCAACCAAGGGACGTGCCCTTAGTGGGAACTGAACCGGGATTCTCTGGTCCGCAGGCCAATGCTCTAACCATTGAACAAACCAGCCAGGGCATGGCATGGTGTTTATTTGTGGTTAGATTTTTAACTGCCATAGTTACAGAATTTTTTAAGCTTTCACATATCTTGAGTCTGTAGCAGTCGTGTATTTTTTTAGGAACTTGTCAATTTTGTCAACATTCTCAAGTCTTCAGGTTGTGAATGACCAAAGGATTATCTTACTCATCAAAGCCCAACAAAGATGTAACCTTCTCTGTGAAGACTTAATTGCTTTCCCCAAATTAACCACAGGATTTATAGTAATATAATCAGAGTCCAGTACTCTTGATCTGTTGTTTTTGTGGTTTGAACTGAGTCCCAGTTAATATCTAGGTCAGTGGTTCTCAACCTTCCTAATGCCGTGACCCTTTAATACAGGTCCTGATGTTATTTTCGTTGCTACTTCATAACTAATTTTGCTACTGTTATGTCTTAAGCAACCCCTTTGAAAAGGTCGTTTGACCCCCAAAGGGGCCGCGACCCACAGGTTGAGAACCACTGATCTAGGTGCTGACAGTACTTGCCTATTAAATGTATGGGGTAGCAGTTGGCAAACTAATTGTTAGCACTGGGCATCACAATACCCTCTTAGCCCTTATGTCAGTGATATGGCACATGTCAATTGTAGTGGGTCACTTCATATGGTTGGTCTGTCTTTGTATCCGATCTTTATTCCCAGTGCTTACTGAAGGCTTGGGCATACAGTAGGTTCCAGATAAATGTTGGTTGAATATGCTAAGCAGGGAATTTAGGAGGACTGATCCCTGTCCAGTATCAGAGATTAGATTAGGTCTTTCATGGGAAAGGGTACTTAAGAGGCAATAAGCGACAAAGAGGCCCTCACTGCATCCCTTTCTCTCCACTCCAGGCAGTAGAACGAGTCCTGTACCCACACCTGTCCACTTACTGGACAAATCTGCAAGCTGTGCTAGATGACTATTCAGTATCTAATGCCCAGGTTAAAGCAGATGGGCACAAAGTCTATGGAGCCATTCTGGTGAGTGCCAGCCCTTTCCAGCCTCCCTTCCATGCATGAGCTCAGCAGGCTTTGGAATACTTGACGGGCCCAGGTTCCTCCTAATTCTTGCCTATCCTAATCCCTCTGCTCTAACATACAGGTGGCCGTGGAGCGGCTGCTGAAGATGAAGGCCCAGGCAGCAGAGCCTAACAAGAGTGGCCCCAGCAGCAGCAGGGGGTGCAGGCGCTCTGATGACCTGCCCTGGGACAGCCTCCTGCTGCAGGAGTCTCCTTCTGGGGGCAGCGCAGAGCCAGGCTTTGGGTCTGGCCTCCCGTTGCCGCCAGGAGGCGCGGGGCCCTCGGGACCTTCCCCTTCGGTGACCCTGGCGGACATCTACCGGGAGCTCTACGCCTTTTTCGGTGACAGCTTGGCCACCCGCTTCGGCACGGGCCAGCCCGCGCCCACGACCCCCCGGCCGCCCGGGGACAAGAAGGAGCCGGCGGTGGCCCCAGACTCAGTGCGGAAGATGCCGCAGCTGACGGCCAACGCCATGGTCAGCCCGCAGGGCGACGAGAGCCCCCGGGGCAGTGGCCCCCCATCGGCCTCTACGCCTGCCCCCTCTGACAACAGGCCGCTGCCGCGCGTGCACCGGGCGCGGGGGACGCCCCGGCAGCAGGGCCCCGGTGCCGGCACCCGCGACGTCTTCCAGAAGAGCCGTTTCGCCCGGCGCGGCGCCCCCCACTTCCGCTTCATCATCGCCGGGCGGCAGGCCGGGAGGCGGTGCCGCGGACGCCTCTTCCAGACCGCCTTCCCAGCGCCCTACGGGCCCAGCCCGGCCTCCCGCTACGTGCAGAAGCTGCCGATGATCGGCCGCACCGGCCGCCCGGCCCGCCGCTGGGCGCTCTCGGACTACTCGCTGTACCTGCCGCTCTGAGGCGGCGCGGCCCTAAATAAACCCACGCCCAGCAGTGAGGTCTCCGCGCTCTCGGGGCGCGCCGGATGAGGCGGGGCTTGGGCGGCTTCTCCCGCGGCCGGAGCCATGGCGCTGTCCTGCCTGCAGCGCATCGAGCTCGTGGTGTTCGCCGCTGCCTTCCTGTGCGGGGCCCTGGCGGCAGCAACGCTAACCCGAACGCAGGTGTGACTGCGGGGCGGGCGGGGCCAGCAGGGGGGCGGTGGGCTGGCCGGTCCTGACCCAAGATAACTGATTTGCACTCGGCCCAGCGAGCTGCTCCTCACCGCGGTGGGCCTGGAGGGCGTCCGCCTGCGGCCGGCCGCGATGTATCAACACTAAACGAGCTCTGCGATTCCGCCCAGGTCTTACTAAGTCATTCTTTCATCAATGGGACAAATCTTCAGGAGTGCCTTACAACTCCAAACACCCCGACTGGTGGCTCCTGCTGCGGAACCTTCCTCTGGTTCCGAAACAAATCGGCAACGCCCTGCCTTAATCCTCAAATCAGGCACCATTGTGCTGAGCTAGCCAAGAGAGAAAGCAGAGAGTGGTGGAGATGAACAAGTTACCACATGATTGCAAATACAGTGTGGTAAATGACAAATTAGTTACGTAAAACAGTAGCCGGTAGTTAATATTGAGTGTTTACCCAAGCCAGGAGATCTTGTTAATAAACAAATTAGAAAACATTGGAAATAGTTTTAGGTCACCCAAGTTCTGGTTTTACGCTAGGATTTCTGCAGAGACCAGAACTCGAGAGGCACTTTGGAAGTTCAGTATATTTTGTAACACCGCCTATTTCCCCGATCCTTCTGGCCACTGCAGATCTGATTTCCCCAGCAGGCCCTCTACTGGCCCAGAAACAGGAACTGGCTGTGTGCAAATAACTTACTAGTGTGGCCCTGGCCTGGGTTATCCCTAGCCTGCCAAAAACCTGCATCCAGAGGCACTAACCTGAAATCTAGGATTCAGCAGCTTCTCTCCACAGGCCTCCTTCAGCGGCAGCTGTCCCCTGTATGGTGTGGCCTCCCTGAATCACTCTATCCTGGCTTTATCCCGAGGCTCAGCTCCCTCCCTCTGCTACTTTGTGGCTGGGGCCTCTGGCCTCCTGGCCCTCTACTGTCTCCTGCTGCTGCTCTTCTGGGTCTACAGCAGCTGCATCGAGGACGCCCAAAGGTGACTGCCCCACTCTGAGGGCTAGGGGTGAGGGGGGAGGAGTCCCACCTCAACCACAAGGCTTGCTGTCTCCTTCCGCAGAGGCCGGGTAGGGCTTCGCATTGCACTGGCCATCTCGGCTATGGCCGTCTTCCTGGTCTTAGTGTCTGCCTGTGTCCTCCGATTTGGCACCAGTTCGCTCTGCAGCTCCATCATCTCTCAGAACACTACAGTTAGGTAATGGGGGTGGGGGGCTGATCCCTGGGCTACCTTCTCTTTGTAGAAGGGACCCTATAACCCCCTTATTAGCCCCATCGATTGTTCTCATCTCAAAGGGCACTTAGGTACAAGAGTATTTGGGGTATATACCCCCTTTCTCACAACTGTCTTTTTGACCTCACAGCTGCTTTGAAGCCCAGAAAATTCCTTGGACACCCCCTGGAACCGCTCTTCATTTTTACTCCAACCTACACAATGCTGAAGTGAGGTCCTGGGATATGAAAGACTAAGTGGAGACCCAGGGATACAGATTCATAGAAACACCTGTAGTTTGAAAAGGGTGCCCACCAATGAAAGGCTGAGAGGAGCTGAGGGCTTGTCAGCTTGACAGCAAACAGACACGGTATGTGGGTGGGAATGGATTGAGACGACCTCACTCCTCACACTCCTGTTCCTGTCTCCCACAGAACTCTTCTTGGGTGAATCTGTTATTGTGGTGTGTGGTCCTGGTGCTCCAGGTCGTGCAATTGAAGTCTGAAGCAACCCCATACCGGCTTCTGGAGAGGGGGGACCCTGAGTGGAGCTCTGAAACAGATGTTCTAGTTGGGCCCCGCCTTTCTCATTCCTGAAGAGTAACCAAAGTGCTGCAGCCAAAGGCTTCCTGCCCAAGTGCCTGCCGTCCTCTTGCCCCCACTCAGCCCTGTTTATACTGAGAGCATTTTCCCTCCAAGAGGGAAACATGACAGGCCTCCCCCGTCTTCCTTCTTACAGCTGTTTTTGTATCAATATTATATTACTCTCTTCCTTCATCTTGATACTGAGTTCTGACTGTTAAAGCACTGTAGGTAGGTGGGTGGGAGGAAAGAGTAAAGGCTAAACATCAAAACTCGGGGGTACATTCAGGTGCCTGCCATTGGAATGACTATTTGTTGTTCATGAATCTTGGGCCCCCTGTATTACTCTCATTGTCACCCCATCCCTAAGGTTAATTTTTCTTTTTTAATTCTCACCCAAGGACATGTTTTTACTGACTTTGGGGAGAGAAACATAAGTCGGTTACCTCCCATATGCACCATGACCAGGGATGGAACCCACAATCTGGGTATATGCCCTGACTGGGAATCAAACCTGACCTTTTAGTGTACCGGATGTCACTCCAACCAACCGAGCCACACTGGCCAGGGCCTTAAGATTCAGTTTTTATTCCCATCTGGGAGGGGTGAGTGTCCAGAGGTTGTTTTTTCACAAGCTACGGTAAGCACCCACAGTGTTGTCAAAAAGTTTCGTGTTGGGGAAATGTCCAGCTTTGTCCAAGAGGAAGTAGAAGCGTCGGCCTTTGACCTTTAGAGGCAACATGGCAGGGACTTCACCCCGGTGGGCCATGCAGGATACTTGGTTCAAGGGAACAGTAAATTGAGCACCCAAGCCAAAGGGGGCATGAGTGGTGAGGGTCACCTGCTTCCCTCCAGCCTGTAGCATCACTGAACGTACAGAGCGGAGGGAGAAGAGAAGACCAGCAGCAAGTACCATGGTACCTGCAGGGAAGAGCAGATTGGGGTGAAGGGTTTTCACTGGAGAGCTAAGCAGCAACCCTTCTAGTGTCCCTGAATAAAGAGATGCTTTTGATCACAGAGGCATTTATTGAGCTCCTCTTATACCGCAGGTCCTTGAGTTACTCATTCCTCCCCACTACCTTAATAGACATCCAACCCCATTTTAATGAGAAAAGTCCAGGGCTGAAGTAACTGGCTGACCTCAGCCTAGGCCTGTCAGAGGGCTTAGTGCTCTGGGACTTCCATCTCCGGTGTCCCTCACTCCCACGGGGAGTGGCCTGCCCACTCGTCCTGACGGTCCGGGCCCTTAGCTCTCCTTGCGCGAGGAAGCGGGGAGGTGCCCAGCCACCAGCCACCACACACCCCCTTGGTGGGAAGCCAGCCCACGCCTTACCGATGGCGCCGCAGCCCACAGCCAGGCCGTAGCGCCAGAGCGCGGAGCGCACGTCCCATCGACCCCGGTCTGGGAGCTCCACATCCGGAGGCCGCGCTGGCACTGGGGGTTGGGCCAAGGCCCCCACGGCCAGGGAGGTCCAGAAGACGCCCTGGCCAGCGCAGAACAGCCCCAGAACCGTGAAAAAGCGGCCCCGCTCGTGCTCGAAGAGAAGCACGTCCCGTGGTGGGGTCACGTCATGCAGGGTGCGGTGCACGGGAAAGTCCCACAGGGAAACAAGCCACACCAGACGCCGTCGCCCAGCGGCCGCCATGGAAGTGCAGCACCGCTTCCGGGGCGGGACTTCCTGTGGACGGGTCGGGTCCCGCCCCCCCATTCCTCCAATGGGTCTTGGAGGCGGGCAGCCTCGGTCTCACCCCGCTTCTCCCCCTTAACCATACGGACCGGGCACAATAATCCAGCACGCAAGACACAAAATACAATATCACTCTTTATCTTAAAAAGTACAGGGAGGGCTGATTCTGGGGTTAAGTACACAAAGCACCTCAGTCCTTCGGGTAGTTTAGTGTCAGTTCTACAAAGTAACCTTTGGCTTCTGGGCACCAGTGAGGCTCAAACTTCTGAAAGTCTTGCAGAGTTTTCCTGAAGGCAGGTGAGGAGAGGGATCCAGAGGCCCACCCTCCTCGGTCACAGTCACAGGGTGGCCTCAGGCCAGGCCGGAGAGGAAGAGACGACTACCATGGCAAGGAGACATCAATATCCAAGGACTATTTACAGGGGCTTCTTCTGGGACATGACGACTAGGGATCACTTTATGAACGCCACTTCTGGGATTTCACCCTTGGCCTGAGAGAAAAAGGAAAGGTCAATACAGCCAGGTCGTCCCACCCCACACGCCCATTACTCAACCCTCTTGAAGGCCCAGAGATCTGTCTTTTTGCCACTGTCTTCCCAAACTTCACCTTGAGGTGAGTAAAGGCCTGGGCGGATCTGGTGTAGTCCCAGTTGTTGTCCTGAAGGCACCTGGAGCAGGGAAATGTGAGCACCTCCGTTAGAGCCAGAGTACAGTCACCTGCTCACTAAAAGCCACTTCAGAATCCATTCTATACAACACCTGCCCAAATTTTCCAACAATTATATACATCATTGCACAATTTATACAAATGAAAAATAAGTAAAAATCCAAATGTTTATCAATGGTCTACTGAACACAAAGCAATATGTATTAAACAGCTACCAAGAAGACCACACACACCCTGGCCAGTGTGGCCTCGTTGGCTGGAGCGCTGTTCCGCACCCCGAAGGGTGGTGGGTTTGATTCCCAGTCAGGGCACATATCTAGGTTGCTGGTTTGATCCCCAATCAGGGTACCACGCGGGAGGCAACCAATTAATGTTGCCATTTCTCTCCCTTCCTCTCTCTGAAATCAATTAAAAAAACAAAACTAGCCCTAGCAGGTTTGCTCAGTGGTTAGAGCGTTGGCCTGTGCACTGGAGGGGTCTCAGGTTCAGTTCACAGTCAAAGGCATGTATTTCAGTTGCAGTTTTGATCCCTGGCCCAGTTGGGGCACATGAGGAGGCAACCAATTCATTGTTTCTCTCCACCCACTCCCTTCCAATCTCAAACAAAACAAAACAAAACGACAACTCTGGTGACCTTTATTCTAATAGGAAAAGATGTTCATGGGATAAGTAAAAAAGGTAACTTGCAGCCTTGGCCGGTTTGGCTCAGCAGTAGACCATAGTCGCAGGTTCAATTCAGGCCAAGGGCACATACCTTGGTTGCAGTTCATTGCTGGCCCTGTTCAGGTCATGCAGGAGGCAACCAGTCCATGTGTCCCTCTCATGTTGATGTTTCTCTGCCCCCCCCCAACTCTATCTGAAAATAAATAGATATCCTCGGGTGAGGATTAAAAAAAAAGGTAAGTTGCAGAACAGTATATATAAAGGGATTTCATTTTAGCTTTAAATTTTGTTATGCTAATTTATACATATGGAAAATTTTTCATGGACCATCTTTTTTTTTCTTACAATTTTTTTGTTTTGTTTTGTTAATTCTCACCCAAGAATATTTTTTCCATTGTTTTGTCTTTTTTTGAGAGAGTGGAAGAAAGGGAGGGGAGGAGGGGTGAGGTTGAGGGGAGAGAGGGAGAGAGAGAGATTGATGATAGAGAAACATCAGTGGGTTGCCTACTGCACACTCCCTACTGGGCATTGAGCCCACAACCCCGGCATGTGCCCTGACTGGGAATCAAACCCGAGACCTCTAGGTGCAAGGGTACAATGCTCAACCAACTAAGCCACACTGGCCAGGGCTCTTCTTTTTTTTTATTTTTATTTTTTCCTTTATTGATTTTAGAGAGGAAGTGGGAAAGAGACAGACAGAACCATCGATGAGAAAGAACATCGACTGGCCGTCTCCTGCATGCTCCCCACTGGGTATCAGGCCCACAACCAGGTCATGTGCCCTGACCGGGAATTGAACCAATGACCTCTTAGTGCACAGACTGATGCTCAATCACTGAGCCACACCGGCCAGACTTTTTTTTTTTTTTTTTTAAAGAATCTGTGTTGGCTTTTTTTTTTTTATCCTCACCCGAGGACATTTTTCCATTTTTTGTTCAGATAGAGTGGGAGGGAGGGAGGGAGAGAGAGAGAGAGAGAGAGAGAGAGAGAGAAACATCGATGTGAAAGGGACACATTGAGTGGCTGCCACCCGCACAACCCAACCAGGGCCGGGGACAAACTGCAACCCAGGTACGTGCCCTTAGCAGGAACCGAACCTGGGTCTCTCTGGACTGCAGGCCAATGCTCTAACCGCTGAGCCAAACCGACCAGGGCTGTGTTGGCTTTTAAAATTTCAGGAGCACTCATTATTCACTACAACCTCTGTTTGTACACATGCCCAATACTCACTTCTGGGACCACTCGAGGTTCATGCCAGACTGCGTAGAAAATGTCTGCAGCATTTCCTGCTGCTCTGGGGAAAGGGTGGGCACTGGGCTGGAGGAGGGCGTGGGAGCAGGCATGGCAAAAGCTCGTTGGATCTCGTCAGGGCTGGCATTCCGCACAAACAGTTCATCATTTACGATGCACAGCCTTGGGCACAGAAAGCACCTTAGACAGTTGAACAACCACAGACAATCTCATCCTCCTAACATTATTCCTATTCTCACTGACATTTCACTCAGATTGTAAAACATTTACAAGGTCCCTTTCCTACTCTTTGCTATTACATTTATTGATATGGACTTTCCCATGAACTCCACAGATGGAATCATCTACTAAACTTGACACAGAATTGCACATTCTGTTCCAAACCATGAACAGTTCTTAGCCCCTATTTATCTTCACAACAGAACAACAGATTCAGGAAGTGACTAGTTACACCAATTTTCAGATGAGGAAACTGGCCCTTAGCCAAGTGGTAGAGCCAGGCTGAAAAACCCAGCCAGGCCAACTCCAGAGCCAAGCTCTTCACCACAATGTGAGCCTCCTCCTCGGATTCCTTTCCCTCCCTGAAATTCTTAAGACACCCTGAGGCCTGCCTCCATCCCTCCCCTCCAATCCCACAGAGCTGGCCATGGCTTGGGACTAGATGCCCACTGGGAAGCCACTCACCCCGAATTGCTGGCTGGAACAGCAACAAGCGTCCGTGTGAAGGCTCGCAGAGAGTCCCGGGCCTTTCCATCCACTGCAATGACAATGGTGACGACCCCTGAGACTCGCTCACACTTGATGTGCGCAAATAGCTTCTCAGAGCATGGTCGTACTTGATACAAAGTGCCCTCAGTGGGCCAGACAGGGATGATTATGTGGGTGCAGGGTTGCAGAGCTGGGGGAGTGTTAGAGGTCAGAAAGGACAGTGATACCCACTTACATTCCACTGATGGAGTCTGTGTGCGCCAAGCACTCTGTAAGTCACTCCATAGCACCACCAGGAGATGGCTGTTACTAACCCTCTTTTACAAGTAAAGAATCTGAGGCTCAGAAGTAATGTAAATTGCCCACAGACACACAGGACCAAGGCTGAGACAGACGCTCAGACCTGCCTGACTCCAGTCTGTGTCCTCCTAATCCTCAGGCTTCTCCCATATCCCAGACTGGAAAGATAGGTAGAGGGTAGGCCAGATGAAGATGGCTTGGGGGATAACAGGAGAAGGTCAGAGAAGAGGGGAGAGAAGGTAGCTGGGAAACAGTGCTGAGAAAGACTGCAGCCGGGGAAAGGGCTGCTCCACAACAGGACTCCAAAGATGCTCACCTTCCTTGAAGACTCCATTGACAGAAAAACACAGCAACGTATTCTGAAAGAGAAGAAACAGTTACCATGCAGGCTCCTGGCCAGAGCCCGAGTCCCTCTCGCCTCTGAACTGCCCTTTCCCCAAATCCAGGCTGTTGGGGAAGAAATCAGTGCTTACCGTTTGGGCGCTTATGTCAACCACGAAGGAATTGATGTCGTGTAGGGTCTTGGGCAACTCATTGAGGAAGGCGACAACATTGAGCCGTGTGTGCTTCAGCAGCCGGAACCGCAGGGCTGAGGAGAAGCCAAGGTTAGAAGCTGCCATGCTCTCCTGAGCCCCATGGCTGATTCCTTTCCACTCCCTTCTCACATCCTGTTCTGCTCATATCACACACTTACTTGGGTCTTTAAGTTTCTTCACATTCCTGCTATCCTTGAAGTATTCACCCAAGTTGCTTCTGGGGAATAAAAGAAAAAGGCGGTGAGCTCTGGCCGGAGTGACTCAATGGTTAGAACGTCGGCCCGTGTACCAAAGGGTCACGGGTTCGATCCCTGGCCGAAGTCAGGATGTGTGCAGGAGGCAATCAATCAAGGTGTCTCTCTCACATCGATGTTTCTCTCTCTCTCTACTCCCCTTTCTTCCTTCCATCCACTCTCTAAAAATCAATGGAAAAAATATCCTTGAGTAAAAGTTAACAAAAAAAAAAAAGAGGAAAAGGAGGTGGTGGTCAGAGCAGTGTGGATGCTAACAGGTGCTCGCCAGTATCTGTTGAGAAACTCTGGTCCTGGGCAGATTCTGGGATGTGATTCTCACCGGGCAGGGTTCTGGGGTGTGAAAGGGATGCTCAGGGAGCAGCAGGCTCCATCATGGTAGGCATCCAGGAGCCGCTGCCGGTTTCCAGAGTCATAGATTGCATAGTACCTGTGGGGAGAACAAAAGGGAACGTCTGTGCTCCACAGTCCAGATCTACAAAGGGACCTGACAGCTCTCTGGTCCACAGGTTGATGCTCAAACCACTGAGCAAACCAGCCAGGGTGGAACCCAATAGTTCTCAAGAGTGAGTTGTCCTGGGGCCAGCCCACCTCTCCCCTGCCTCAGGGGCCCTGAGATACTTACTGCTGCAAGAAGTGCAGGACCAGATTCTTCAGGGCCTCTGTTCCAAAATAACTTCCCTGGAATTAAACAGATAGTAGGACCATGTAACCAATACTCTCCTCCCAACACAAGTTCTAACTCTGTCCCCCTTTCTCACCTTGCAGGGTGGTAACATTGTGGGGGCTTCAACATCAAAGGCAATTGGCGGGGGTAACTCATGGCCGTCCTGCCAAAAGAAAGTGAGAGTTGGGAGTGTAAACCAGAAAAAAAAGGCAGGTAATAAAATGGAAAACTAAGAGAAAGGGGACAGAGATCAAGTATAAAAGAGATATGGAATCCTAACATACCATTCTGTCTACAGGCATTTTTCCGGGAAGGAGGTATTATAGCCTTTGTTGGATTTTCAAAGGGCCCCAAATCCCCAAATTAATGGTCATAAAAACACGTTAGGCAAGACCTTGGTGGGAGATGCTATGATTGTTAGAAGAGCACGAAAAATGATTGTTAGAACTTACCAAGCGTAGTAACTTGGGAAATCGTTCACGAATGGCGCTGTCAAGAACGGGACAGAAGTGAGTGACGCTTCAGAGCCACCGTGCCTCCTGGGCTGCTCTAGGAGCAAATACACCAACACCCGAGGGACAATCCTTCCCACCTTACTCATTCTCTCACTTTCCCAGCCTCTGAACTTTAAAAAAATGGCCCAACTCCCCTTTACCTGGGGCACCCAGAAATGATTACCTTGAAGGATGACTCCTTTCTCTGCCTGACCTGAGCACCATGGGAGGAGCACTCTCAGCCCAGGCTTTAAGCCCAGGACGTCCTTTCCCTCCCTGCCCCCCTTACCTTCTACCTACTCACCTGTGCAGCCCCGGGAAGAGGGAATGGGGTGGGAGCCCAGGGGCTCCGCTGCCTCAACAGGTATCCATCAGTTCTGCCAGGTCTGGCCATGGCCAAGACCAGAACACACCACAGGGATGGCACAGGATGTTGGGGCAGGGAGATGAGCAAGGCAGGGGTCAGGAAGATGGGAGGCCAAGGAAGGAGTGAGGGAAAGAAAAGGAGAAAAGAAATAGAAAAAAGGTAGGATGGGGCAAGGCCAAGGAGAAGATGGAGAAAGATACAGGGGAGTAGAGAGGAAAAGGAAAGAGAAAGCAAAGGAACTACAAGGCAAGGAAGCATTCAGAAAAGAGGGAGAACCAAGGGAAGAAGGTGGCACCCTGACACAGCCCTTTCCTTCAGCTGCCCCTTTCCCTGTGGTCCAAGGTAGAAATGGGAAACAAATCCTCATTGTAGCGACAGGGCAGATGCTGTTGGCCAGGTCTCTGTCTGCTACCTGGGTCCCGATCTGAGCTGGGCGTGGGAAGCGAAGCAGCCATGGGGGCAGGAGACCTCCCTCAGAAGGGGTGAGGGTTCAGGCCCCTGTAAAGTTGGGGGGGTGAGGGTCTGTGCCCCACCTCTGTTGGCCCCCAAGTTCTCTCCTGATGGCCCCTCTGCGACTGTGCCTGTCTTAGGTTGTTCCTTCCCTGAGGAATCTTACCCGTCTCTGGCTAACCAGCCATCCTCCGGGGCCAAACAGGGTGATGTGAAGTGTGCAAGTGAGGGAGGGGCAGTGCCCCCCAATGCAAGAGGTTCACTTCTGTCTCCTTGGTAGCCTATGCCCCCGTGGCCTCCACGCCCAGCACCTGCCTTGGGATCCCCTCGCCTGCTGGCGGGGCCCTGGCTCTGGTCACATGTCTTGGGGAACCCAGGTTTCTTCTCCAGGGAGGGCCCAGCTCACACCACTGGGCTAGAGACAGATCCATGGCACCGGCCACCAGGAGGCCTCAACCTCAGCACGAGCAGAAAGCCCAGGCAACAGCTGTGGGCAAATGGATTGTGAGAAGAGGATCCCTCTTGGCAAAAAGACAAGAAGAGCCAATATGGGACAAAGGAGAAACGGCCCATCAGCCTGTAGGCCCAGGGAGAGGGCTTTCTCAGCCCAGGATGTCAAGCTCTTGGTACAAGACACCTCCGTGTGTGGGGCACACACAAGACACCCCAGTCATGGTAGAAAAGGGGAGGTGCCCTTCCTGGAACAATCAGGTAGGGCGACTCTAGAAAAGGCTGTGTTCAGGAAGAAAGGAGAAAGACCATAGAACCAGCAAACAAGTAGGTAAAAAAACAACAGGAAGGAGACGTGGGGCAAAGCTGGGGCATATGGACAGACAAAAGGGAGGAGCATGTGATCCTCCCAAAGGACAGGTGGTTCCAGCTTAGGGCTGCACATCTCCTGCAGACGGGCACTGGTCAGGGTGCGTTAACTCAGCCTCCCAGGGGGTGAAGGTCCCCAGGAGGGGAAACAGAGGCTACAACTGACCTGATGTAGGTGGACTGGTCTCGGAAGGTGTCACAAAGAGCGTTTCCTTCGAGCCACAGCTCTTCTAGCTTCAGCCCTTTCACCTTGTCCAATTCCCGCTCAGATTTCAACTGCAAAGGATGGGAGAAGGCAAGAAAGAGACCCTAGTAAAGAGAGCCAGCTAGATGCCCACACTCAAATCCCCACCCTCATCTCTTAAATTCTTCCTTTGCTTCTTGCCACCACCGGGCAAGTCCTCTTCACCCTCTGCCCACCTCAACCAAAAACACATTCAGGTCTCAAGTCTCACCTCATTTCCGGAGAGGTTTAGGATCTTTAGGTTGGGTGCTTTCTGCACAATGCTAGACATGTCATCCAGCCTATATAGCCTGTTGCTACTCAAGTTCAAAGACAACAGCTGTGAGGAGAAAAGAGTTTTGGAGGAAGCTTCACCAGAGAGGCAGAGACAAATCTGCCTCCCAACCCCACCCTATCTATCCCACCCTGCTTCCTCCCACCTAATTCCGAGGCAAGGCCTCACCTCAGGGATGTTCTCCTCAATGATTTGCAGGGTAGCTGCCATACAGCTTCTACGATGCAGGACAACATCAATGTTCTCGGCCACCAAATCTTCAGGAAGGAAAGGGAAGTGTGAGAAGGTGTGCCTAGGTCAGCATTAGCACCAAACCATTCTCAAACCTTCCCTTCCCTTCCATCTTCACCCATCTGAGAACTGCTGCCAACAATACCTGGGTCTAAACGAAGGCCCTTGAGGTCAAGCGCTTTTTGGGAGCCATCGTATCGTTTGCTCATGATTAACTAGAGGAAGAAAAAGGCTTCAGTGGTCACTGGGGTTGCGTTATTTGAGGGGAGGGGCGTGAGGATATGAGAACTGCTGGGACTGGGGTGGAAACACACGACTAGAGCCTGCCTCACCTTTAGCTGCTCTATGTGTTCTGGCTTCAGCTCATTCTGTACAGTAAAGGGTGGAAGAGAGGGGTTGATGATGATAGGTATCTGCCAGGAAGACATAAAGGGCAGGGTGAACGCTACGAGAGCCTAAGCCCTGGGACCAAGACCCAGTGCCCTGAGCACCAATCCCCACCTCCAGCCAAGCCAGGCTCTTTGTACACACCCTACGGTTCTCCTGATCCAAAATCTTATAGTTGACAGCCTTCAATGCAGAGGCGGTACTGGCATCCTCAACAAAAAACTGGGCCCGCATGTTTTCATAGTGAAACTGCAAGAGAAAAGAGCAGCAGATTTGGAACCCAGAGCCCCTGGCCTACCTGGCCCCTCCGTCAGCCACTCAGGCCTTATCTTACCTCAATGGGGGTGAAAGGGACACTGCATTTGCTCTGAATCATACTCAGGAGCCATGACTTGTCATATTTCCTGCCATAAGGAATCTACATGAGAGAAAGAGAAGGCAACATTATATAACTAAGGCTGAACAGCAGATCCAATTTAGTGGCCTTTCACATAGTTTGCCAAACTTGGAACAATGTTTCTCCCTCTCTCCCCCTCTCCCTCTATCTGAAGATAAATGCAAAAAATGTCCTCAGGTGAGGATAAAAACAAAACAAAAACACACAAAACTACACTTGTATTCATCGAAAGAATCAAACTGACTTAAAAGTTCCAAGATATTGCCCTGACCGGTTTGGCTCAGTGGTTAGTGTGTCGGACTGCAGTCCAGAGACTCAGGTTCGGTTCTCGCTAAGGGCACGCACCTCGGTTGCAGTTTGTCCCCGGCCCTGGTTGGTCGTACAGGTGGCAGCCACTCAATGGGTCCCTTTCACGTTGATGTTTCTCTCTCTCTCCCTCCCATTCTGAACAAAAAATGAAAAAATGTCCTTGGGTGACGATAAAAAAAAAAAGTTCCAAGATGTTGCCCTGGCCAGTTAGGCTCAGCGGTTAGAGCGTTAGCCTGCGGTCCAGAGAGACCCGGGTTTGGTTCCCGCTAAGGGCATGTGCCTTGGCTGCAGTTTGTCCCCGGCCCTGGTTGGGTCGTGTGGGTGGCAACCACTTGATGGGTCCCTTTCACGTCAATGTTTCTCTCTCTCTTTCTTCTTCTCTCTCCCTTCCACTCTATCTGAACAAAAATAAATAAATAAAAAAAAATAAAAGTTCCAACATATTATTTATACCCTGCCTACCTCAGAAGTCGAGAGACCCCAACCCCCACAACTTGGCTTGAGCCAAATGGAGACATCCAGAGGAGTTATTCCACCTCCCAGTTATTACATTTCCCTTAGATGGCCTTTCCTTTCTTCCTAATCCTGCTGGTCCCTTCTACTCCTTTTCTGAAGCTGCCGTCAGATTTTCTTTTCTTTTTTTTTATACTAGGCAAAGAACTTTATTAACCTGTTTCAAACTTTATTCCCGGGCCTCTTCAGCTTAATTAGCTGCAAAGAATGATTTATGTATATGCAAAAACTGAAAAGAGCTGCAATGTCCAGGGGGGTTGGGCTAAAAAATATTAGAGATCTAGATTTTATCAGATCCATAAACAAAATTTGAAAACAGCAGTCATAATATAAAATAGCAGCTCCCAGTAACTTCTTCAAGATTATCTTCTTCAGAAGTTGACTCAATTCAGTTTGCCTCATTCTTGGAAGCCTCATCAAAATTCTCCACAAGATCTGGAACTTCGTTGTCATCCTCCTCTCCAGGAGCAAGTGGTGCTTTTCCATCCACAGATTGTTTGGGCAGAGCTTCAGCCAGTCTCCTTAAACTAGTCCGACTGTGGGCACCGAGCTGGCTGAAGATGCTGGGTAGCATTGCTGTCAGCTGCTTTGTCTCAGCATGGCCTGTAGTGGTGAGAGTGTCCGCTGTCGGAGATGCCTGCACTTTAGGGTTGTTAAAGTGGATCACTGTTCCTTGGTTTGTGAACATATTTACTTCTTCAATACCAGAGATATTATTTACCCCTAACTTCTTTAAGGAGAACTGAAGTTTATCATCTGCTGTAGCTGTTCTGTGAACCACCTTCTTTCTACGAGCAGTTCCTTTCCCACCAATGCACACTTGTGTCTGCAGTTTGGCGAGTTTCTCCTGGTTCATAATAGTTTCTTTCATCTTGTTGGAGAAGAAACGGGGCCGCGCGGGGGTCTAGGGTTGGCCTTCAGGGGGGTCTTGGACTCTGCAGTCGGATTTTCTAAGATATTGCTCCTTAGGTAAAAGGATGGATACCTGACTGTGGAGTAAACAGCTGAGAAGACTGATTCTGTGAGGTGAAGAGTAAACATGTTCACTCTGAGCCCAGCCCCCATTTCCCCTGCACCATCTATTTCCAAGATACTCACTGTAATCTTAAACCAGTTCTTTGAGGTCCCATCCTGGCTGGTGCCAGCAGCCCCTCTTTGTGGAGGAATTCTGTCTCTCTGCACAGTAACATGAATGCGGTCTCGATCATGACAATTATCACGACGGTTGGGTCGTGCAGCATAGGGGTTGCTGTGGGGAGACAGAGAATAAGACACCCATACGTGCTAGGAATGTCTTCTCAAAGGCCTTGCTGCATGGCTATCTGGGCTACAACTAAGCCAGTTAAACCATTAAGTTGGTCCTGGCATTTCTCACTCCTGTGGGTAGGAAAAGAAATGACATGGAGTAAGAGGGCAATATAAATGAATGCGTCTCTAAAGTCAAACCACAACAACTGGTTACTTACTATCGTACTCGGGGAACATCCTGGGCATCACTCATTGCCACATCTCTGTCATCTTCCTCAAAGCGGGAAGACCGAATACCAGTACCTCCTCTTCCAGACCTACGGTTCCCCTCACCACACTTCCACCGGAAAGGACCCCGGCCTTTCTTTCTTCTTTGAGGGAAACTAACACGATCATCATGCTCTGGAGTTGGAAGCAGAACACAAATTAGAACACCCATCACTGGTCTAACTGCCTTACTGTGATAGTCTTCATCCAGCACCCTGATGGATGAGGTACACACTAACTACAGCAAGCCACCCTCCACGCAAACTCCTCCACCTGCCAAGAGAAAGAACCCTCTCTGTGGGATAACATCAGGGAAAAACCATTGAGAAACTACAGGGTTTTGCCCTGGCTGGTTTGGCTCAGCGGTTGTTGTGTTGGCCCACAGACCAGAAATTCCCAGGTTTGGTTCCCGCTTAGAACACGAACCTTGGTTGCAGTTTGTCCCTGGCCCTAGTTGGGGTCATGTGGGTGGCAACCAGTCAATGTGTCTCTCTCACATCAATGTTTCTCTTTCTCCCTCCCTCCCTCCCGCTCTATCTGATGATAAATCCAAAAAAAGAAAAGAGAAACTAAAGGGTTTTGAAAAATGAAGCAGAGATAAGAAACAGAATGTGGAAGTGAGAGTGATCCAAAAGTGGTACTGGACACAATGCAGATCCTCTGAAAACCCCCCTGAAACCTGCTTTCACGCAGCCTCCCAAACCTACATTTAATCCACTCAATATTTGGATGATGACCTCTCTCCCCTCCCCTCAAACCAATCAATCACAATGATTACAACAGGTTTCAGTAAACAATGCTTCTTTTGCCTACATGGTACAGATGTCAGTTACAAATATGACCAATTTAAGAATTTCTATAAAGATTTTATTCTCACAGTGCCATGCTGAAGTTTTGGCAGTGAGCTCTTTGTTTCTTTGGCCAGAAATGTCCTTTAACCCAGAAGACAAATCCTAGACACAGCATCTAGTGGCAGGTAGAGTGCTTAACCAAGAGTCCTCAAATACTCTCCAGGAATGTGACCCTCTCAATCCTGGTGTGTAGGAATGGATTCTTAAAATAAAATAAAAAGATCCATGACTCCCTTGCCATGCACAGTGTGACTCAGTGGTCAGAGTACTGGCCCATGAAAGGAAGGGTTTCAGGTTGGATTCCTGGTCAAGGGCACATACCTGGGTTGCAGGTTCAACCCCCAGCACTGGTCAGGGTGCCTGCAGGAGGCAACCAATGGATGTTTTTCCCCCACCCACACCATCCCTTCCACTCTCTAAAAATCAATGGAAAAATATCCTCAGGTGAGGATTAACAACAACAACAAAAATCCATGACTCTAATGCAGCACCCTGCAAACAATGAAATTCAAGAAATGACCCTAGAAAAAAAAAATAAATGAACAGAAGACACAGCTAATAGTGACTGAGAACTTTCTCCCGTGCCAGACACTATGATACACCAAGCACTTAATATAAATGATCTCATTTTAACACACACACAAACATACACGGACACAAACTTAAGCGGTAGATACTGTTTCTACCTGCATTAAGGGAGTGGAAATCGAGGCTTGAGAGTTTAACTCAAGCTGGTGTAGCCAATTCAGGACTGAAACCTCGGCTGTCATGTGCTCCAAACCACTACGCTGGACCCAGTATAATGTTTGGTCTAGCATCGAGTTGGTGTGTAAGTCTAAAATACTTAGTCAAAGTCAAAGCGGCAGGAAGTGGGGCAAGACCGACTGGATGCGATAGATATTAGGACACAGGTAGCCCTTGAGGAGGGTACTGACTCACACTAAAAAGAGTCTGGACGCCAAACTGAAATGACAGGGATACACCACCCACAAAGTTCAAAGGAATCTCGTCACCCCACTGCCGAGCCACCCGCTGCGAGCTGCGGCTACTCGCAACCCCGGAATTCCGGAGTCAACAACTCGGGCGCCAACCCTCGGGTCCGGCCAGGCCCTCCCGCGCCACCTCGCCCCCGGCCCGCGCCGCCACCGTTCCCCGCGGACGTGGGCCCCTCGCGGCCTTCCGCCTGGCGCTGCGGCCTAGGCCGGCGCCGCCCACCCCGACCCCAGATCGTCCCGCTCCCCGACTCGGGCCAGCACTTACCGTTGTATGACTTTCCCCCGTCCGCCATGGCACAGCGAGAAGCAGGACGGGCTCAGGCGCGGGCCACAACGCCACAGACGTCAGAATGCCCAGGTTCTCCAGGTCGAAGTGCCCCTACACCCGGCGCCACCGCATTTATGCGGCCAAGCGCGCGGCGCGCCGTCGACGTCTCCAGGTGGTGGGTGGTGCCGCCTGGAGGGCCCCGCCCACCGCGCGTGCGCACTGGGTGAGCATCCGCGTCAGGGGCGGGGCTCTGCCGCTACACCACCCGCCCAAGACAAGGGATTGCCAGTTGGGGCTGTTTTGCTGCGCCGCGGCTTGCATCTGCGTGCTGCTACGCCAGCGCCTCCGGGGTTATCGCTGGAGCAGACGGCAACCGAAGCCCAGGACTCCGAAAAGAACGGAGATTAGGGGCCACACAAAGGGTTCCCGAGGAATGGGAAAGCTGGGCCTCGGAGCGGGAGTGACCGCTTACAGATCCCTAGAAGGATCCAATCAAGTGTTTGTCTCAGCTTAGCCCCCTGCCAGCTACGGATATATGCTTCGCTTTTCTTGCCTATAAAATGGATTGTCAAGAAATAGAAAACTAAACGTAAGCTCCGAGGGAGCAGGGAGGGACTTTGACTAAATCATAGCTTTTTTTCTTTAGCGCCTGGCTCAGTACCATGCTTGGCACATAGCTGGAACTCACTATTTGTGAAATGAATTTCTGATCTATATATCTCCCCCCACGAAGCGTTGCAGAGTCAAATGACTTATTTGTCAGGCTTTAGTGAGCAACCGTCTTCACAAACCTCCCCACACACCACAGACGGGCTGTGCTAGGCCCACATGGTGTGTCAACTGTGTGGTGAAGACTAGCAAGATCACCTGCTGAACAGAGAGGCCAAGGGGAGGAAAGCCAGGGCTAGAAAAGACGTGCGCTCTCCCACACACCTGCAAAGTACTAGGGCCAAGCCAGTGTATGGTGATTGTTCTCTCTATAGCTTGAGCTTTCCTTGTGATGTGTGAGATGGGAGGATTCCAGTGATGTGGTTGTAGGTCCCGGACAGGAATGACAATATATTAACCTCCCTGGATGGTGGGTATTCCAGGCAGGTCTCTCCTTCTCCTGTGACTGGTTTGGAGTTGGTGAGGGGCTTGGAGGGTTCCAAGAGCTTCAGCTGGAAGCCAGGAACAGGTTCTTCGCTTCACCTTTCACTCCTGGCAGCAGACAGAGCTCCTGCCTCATCCAACTCAAGGAAAAACTGGGACCAACCAGTTAGAGGATGCAGGTAAAATAGATGGTCCTGGAAGTTGCCACCAGTCAGGGATGCACTCTGAGATCCTGCTTCCCCCTTTGAAGGGAAGTTGCCAAAGTAATGAAGTGTTGCTGCTGCACTTGATTCTCCTGCCTGGAAGCCGCTGTGTACGGAGCCCAAAGCCTGGTCCCTCACAGCCATGGGCCCAACCCTTTCGTTTCTGGAACTGGGCAGTGGGCTCACTCTACTTGTTGCCTAGGCCCTTCGACGCTCCCACCCAGAAATGACGACATGGCTAGTGAGGCTGACAGTCTTGCTGTAATTGGGAGAAAACAGCTGCAGCGCATATGGCTGACTGAGTCGCCAGCAGCCAAAGTTGGGGTTGTGCAGGCAGCTGAGCTGCTCAGGGCCCCCTACCTCACATAGTGAAGAGAGGAAGAAAGAGGTCAAATTATAACCCAGATGGGAAAGTTGGTCCCTGGGGTTCACTTCCTCTCCTCACTCTCAGGATGTGAGGAAGGGCAACATCTCCCCTTGCTGCCAAAGTTTCCTTTGGGAGAGGCTAGGGAGGGTTTATAAAAATCTCCAAGTGGAGACAACCTCCCCCATTGACCCACCAGTTGGCCTCTGCTCCCTTCCAGCCACTTCACAGCAGAGCCCAAATCCAGAACCGTGTATGTTTCATGGGCCTGAGGGTGGTGGAGGGAGGACAGGGTAGCCCACCAGAGGCAAGGGGTAGGGGATCAGGGGCAGTGGCCATTCTTAGCAGTTCCAGGAAAACAGGGCCTTTCTCCCAAGCACCCTGCACAGGCTCAGTGGCAGCACTAGCCACCTGCCCTCCCAGGTAGGTTCCAAACCCCCACGGAGTGCCTCAGAGTGGAGAGGGTTCAGGCAAGGAAGACCACAAAGATGATGAAGAAGACAATGAGGATGAGGAAGATTTTGACCATGAGCCACCGGTTGGAGGTAACCGACTGAAAGTACTTGAGGATCTCCGAATGAGCGGCCTCAACATCCAGCTGGGCTCCCATCACGTTCTCATCAATCCTGGGATGGGCAGAGAGGAGAGGAAACAGGACAGTGGATTAAAAAGAATGCTACTGAGGCATATTTAGTGACATGGAAAGATGGTCACAGTATATGTGAGTAAAAAACATCTAGGCGCATCTTTCCTATCCCCCTCTTCTTCCCTGCAGACACATTACCTTTGCTTTTCTCTCTCCTAAGCTCCAAGGGCTCTTCTTTTGCCTCTATTACTTGTTTCCTGAGCCTATACAGCCCAGCTGGCTCACTTCTACTACCTCTGTAACTTTTTAAGTAAACTTTCTCTTGTGGTTTCAAACAAACAAAAGGTGTTTATATACAATATGATCCCATTTTTGTGTATAGAAAAAGGTCTGGAAGGGTACATAAATAAGCCTTGGCTCTTGTTTGAAAATCAGCTCTGCAACTTATTAGCTGGTGACCCAAAGCCAGTCATTAACCTCAACTCTCATTTTCCTCAACTGAAAAAGAAAAATGAGAATAACACAAAACCTACCTCTCTGGTTGTCAGTCTTATCTGAGTTAACAAACATAAAGTGCTCAACCCATACTAAGAGACTCCAAATATTAGCTATTACAATTTTTTACTCATCAGTACTTTTTTAAAAAAATTTTTTGAGCCCTAGCTAGTTTGGCTTAGCAGTTAGAGCCTCGGCCCTGCAGTCTGGAGAGACCTGGGTTCGGTTCCCGCTAAGGGCATGTACCTTGGATGCAGTTTGTACCCATCCCTGATTGGGTCATGCAGGTGGCAGCCACTTGATGTGTCCCTTTCATGTCGATGTTTCTCTCTCTCTCTTCCTCTCTCTCCCTCCCACTCTATCTGAACAAAAAATGGAAAAATGTCCTCTGGTGAGGATTAAAAAAAAATTTTTTTATTGAATTTATTGGGGTGACATTGGTTAATAAAATTATATAAGTTTCAAGTATACAATATACATGATCTGTATATTGTATTGTGTGTTCACCATCCAAAGTCAAGTATCTCAGTATTTACTGATTTTTGTCTAATAAATATGTATTGCTGCCCTGGCTGGTTTGGCTCAGTGGTAGAACGCGGCCCTTGGACCAATGAGTCTCAGGTTTGATTTCGGCCAAGGGCACATACCTCGGTTGCGGTTTGTCCCTGGCCCTTGTTGGGGTCGTGTGGGAGGCAACCAGTTGATGTATCCTTCTCACATGGATGTTTCTCTCTCTCTCTCTCCCTTTTTCTCCCTCTCTCTCTGAAGATAAACAGTAAAATATCCTTCGGTGAGGATTAAATAAATAAATATGTATTACCCTGGTCAGTGTGGCTTAGTTGGTTGAGCATTATCTCAGGCACCAAAAGGTTGCTGGTACAATTCCATCACGGCACATGCCAGGATTGTGGGTTCAATCCCTGGTAGGGGGTGTGCAGGAGGCAGCTAATTGATGTTTTGCTGTTATATCAATGTTTCTCTCTCACATCGATGTTTCTCTCCCCCTCTCCCTTCCTCTCTCTCTAAAAATCTATCAAAAGTAAATAAGTATTGCATTTGTAATTCGGAGGGGGTGGGGGGAGTTCACAGGCCATTCCAGTCAGGACAGGAAATCCTGGTTCTGAACAGGAAGTCAGGGGATAAGAAAAGCCCTACTGAAGAACACATCTCTCCAGGGTAAAGAGAAGACCTCAGAGGAAGGGCAATTTCTTGAGAGATGGCTAAGAAAAAGAAACCATTTCGCAACCTGCACATGCAATCCTAAAAAACAAATACAAACCTGAGTCCCTGGGAGCAGAGACTTTTCCAAACTGTGAGGATAAAAAAGTTGGTGGAGCCCGGCTGGTGTGGCTCAGTGGTTTCATTCCTGGTCAGGGCACATGCCCAGGTTGTGGGCCTGATCCCCGTGGGGGGCGTGCAGGAGGCAGCTGATAGATGTTTCTATCTCTCTCTCCCTTCCTTTCTCTCTAAAACCCAATAAAAACACATAAAAAAAAATATTGGTGGAGCCAGGCAATCCAGCTGGAAAGTGAGAGGAAAGGCTAGGCCAGTGGCTGCAAGCCCAAGGTTCTGGGTCATGAGGACTATGAGCTAATCTCTGTCCAAGTACAGGAGCCCGGATTGTACTTGATTGCCTATTCATGTCAGAGAGGCTAACTAAAGTATCAGGTTTCCTAGCTTTGGGCCATAATTACATTTCTCAGTGTGAGTGCATTTGTCATTTCATATCCAATAAAGCTCACATTGGCTTTGCTTAACAAAATTGGAAAAATAATGAATGCAGTCTGGTATATAAAAGATTTAAAATGGGAGTCCATGAATGAAACTAACAGAAGGGAACACTGGTGGTGAAAAAACTACGAATCAATGGGAGTTAGAAAACAAAAATGGCCCTGGCTGGTTTTGCTCAGTGGTTAGAGCGTCAGCCCGTGGACCAGAGAGTCCTGGGTTCGGTTCCCGCTAAGGGCACGTACCTCGGTTGCAGTTTGTCCCCAGCCCCGGCTGGGGTATGTGTGGGTGGCGACCACTCGATGTGTCTCTGCCACACCGATGTTTCTCTCTCTCTCCCTCCCGCTCTATATGAAGATAAATGAAAAGAAAAGAAAAAAAAAAAAAGTCCTCGAGTGAGGATAAAAATAAAAAGAAAACAAAAATGCAGCCCTGACCGGTTTGGCTCAGTGGTTGGAGTGTCACCTGTGGACCAGAGTGTCCCGGGGTTAGGTTCCCACTAGGGGCACGAACCCCCAAAAAAAGAAAACAAAAATGAATAGGGCAGAAAATAGTGGCTTGGAAAGGAGAGGGCTGAAGATAATGTAAAAGGAAAAAGTTTACATGGGGAAGAGGACAAAAGAATGTCTTACAGAGAGAAAGAAAAACTAGAGGCCAGTTGGCCTCAGCAGTTAGAGCGTCGGCCGGCAGACCAATGA